AAGTATTGTTTTAGAAAATTACAGCATCAAAATTAATAAATACGTTTTTATATCAAATAAAAATTCGTAATAACCACATTCTATTATTGTAACCAGCCGCCACTGTTGAAGTTGGTAACTTTTAATACAATTCGGGGTGAGGAATTGTTCATTTTATTGTTTCCCTCTTAAATATTCTGCCAGGAAGTTTTTGTGTTTATTTTCTTTCAGTTGCACTCATATTTCCGCCTACTAATTATGCTTTTCATGAACTTGATTTTGAAACACAATCTCTTGGAATGTTATTTTATGGGTTGCGCAATTAATAACGGCATTCATAATTTTTGTTTGTTTGTATTAAAGGAAGACTTTGAAAGAGATTGATAAAATAAAGTGAAAACAGCTTGTTTCGGGTTGTAGTTGTAGTTAAAACCACAGAACAGGTTTAAACGTTCACTTAAATATTTTGTTTTATTTATTTACAATAAATATGTATAATGACAATACAGCTAATTTCGGTGACTGGGTAAAATTTCTATATTCTTTTTCTTTTTCATTTTAATTTAAATTTATAAAATTATTTTTATTATAACTTATTAGTTAGACGAAGTAAAACTAATGTTGCCCAAGTAGATAGTATGTGACCGTATTTTATACACATGCGAAGTTTGTCATTTTGAAAATAAATATTGATATTTATTCTATGTAGAGTCTATTGTTCATTAAATAATTTGACAATAATCGAGTCGATAACAAATAAATTTTAATTTAAATCTTAAACTAAACTAAAAATTGTTCGAAGTTTGTTTTTATAGTACTTCTTCTCTCTAGCGGCATATAACGGCCCGGCAGCCCTTGCCCCAAGAATTTGCGCTCCCAAGTACGGACAATGTAACATGTATTTAAAGCAGATAACCAACGGGAATAAATGGTTTTTCAGCACTAATAACAAGCTTACGTTCGAGTGTTTATGTTTATTATTATTATTATTATATATTCGACAGGCGGAACCCCATTTATGGAATATATTTCAGTTTAATTCAAACGGATTCAAACTTTAAGTTCTTAATGATACACATATTTGTATTAAAAATATTCAGCTGACGATTAAGCCAGTTTCCTATGTAACACATTCTGTACGCTGGTGAAAACTTCAGAACATTCGTTCCAGGTGTTGGTAACGCAAACAACTCCGGTTTTCTAGATATAAGTAATCTAAGACTTCCACTTAAACATATTCTTCTCAATATGTCTTGACAATCTAATCTATTATTGACAACCTGATAAATAGTTACTGCCAAAAATATTTTGTTACGGTTTTCTAATGCTGTCATAGAATATCTCTCTAAAAGTATAGTTTGTGGAAATCTAATGGGAGGATACGTTCTCTCCTCTCTAAAATACAGATATTTAAGGAACCTACGCTGCACCTTTTCAATATTGTTTATTATGTATATTATAGTAAGGGAACCAGACCACATTTGCGTACTCCATTTTGGTTCTAACCAGTGCAATAAAAAGTGAAATTAACGTCTTTATATTCACAAAATCCTTTGAATTTCTGAGTATGTAGTCAAGGGACTTAAAGCACGCAGAGACTACATATTCGAAGTGAGCACTAAAAGACAATTTACTTAACTCCTAAGTCATGAACAATGTTCGGTCTAGAGACTGACTCACCTAATATGCTGTATTCAAAATAGATTGGACTCTTAATTTTAGAGAAGATTATAGCATAGTATTTTGTTTTATTGACAGGCAATTCACTAACATTGCACCAATTTAATACTTGATTTAGGTTGCGATGTAACTTCACACAATCTGCTGATGACTTCACTTTTGTGAATATTTTTAAATCGTCCGCATATAGTAAATAATCAACATTGAGGATGTGAGTTATATCATTGATAAACACGGAAAATAGAAGTGACCCTAGTACCGAAGCCCGCGGCACTCCAGGAGTTGGAAATACATGCTTTGATGAGCATCAACTGCAGTAGACAAACTGCTTTCTAGCACAAAGATAAGAGTGAAAAACCTTAAGTTGGGCTGGTGAGAATCCAATAGCACCAAGTTTATACAATAAAATATTGTGACTTATTTTGTCAAAGGCCTTCGAAAAGTCCATGTAAATGACGTCCGTCTGACCACCCTCATCAATTGACTCACTTAGGAATTGAGTTAAAGACACTAAATTTGTCCCCGTAGACCTGCCATGCATAAATCCATGTTGGTTTTCAGAAATATTACTTTTTAAGTGAAAATAAATGTTATTAAAAATCACCATTTCAAAGATTTTAGCGATTTTTTATTTATTAAAGCAATTGGTCGATAGTTTTCGATAGCAGTATGATTGCCCTTCTTTAATATCGGAACAATTTTAGAAATCTTCCACAACTTCGCAATTAGGTACACCAGTTTTTAAGATTTTATTGAACAAGATAAACAGCGGCTTCACCAATGTGTGGGAGAACAGTCTTTTAAGAAAATCGATGGAATGCTGTCTGGACCAGCGGTATTTTTACGTTTCAATTTTTCCAAAGCTGCATTGATTTCGCCTTCAGTTATGTTAGGAATGTGTAATAACACTCCACTACAAATATCTGGCCCATGACTGAAATTTGAAGGTCGACTCAAAATATGTTACAAAAGCATCAGCAATATTTTTTGGACCTGATATCAGAGATTTATCATATGTCATTGTGGACGGGATGCTACTACTGCCCTTTTTCAAATTCACATACCTCCAAAATTCCTTTGGATTATCAATCGTATCTCTTTCAACATTTGCATTATAAATTTTGTATTCACTCGATATTTTAATTTTAAGCTGTTTACGCAACTCCTTGAAAACTTGCCAATCATCTTAATTGTTGTATTTTCGGCATTTTCTATAAATTCGATACTTTTTGCGAACCATTTTTATTATTTCTGGCGTAAACCAAGGAGGGAATGTATATTTCCGATTTGTGTACTTCGGCACATACTTGTCTAGTAGAGAGTATAAAATATTATAAAATGTATCACAAGCTGTATCTATATCTGAGCACATTTCTAAAGATTTCCAGTTTACTTCCATGAGAGCTTCATATAAAGAATTTAGATCAGCTTTATGGAAATTATAACTAGAGCTTGCCGAATTACGAAGGTTTCTATTTACCATATATCTAATACTCCTATATTGCTAACTGGCCTCAAAACTCAAAAGAGTCCGAAAACATAACGGCAGAGCAATATATCGGAATTTAATAGCACTACATTGTCTACTCCTTTTAATTTTCGTAAAGCAAATTTATCACAACTTTAATGCCCGTTTGCACCAACGTTACTTAAAATTTAAGCAGCTCTTAAGCGCAGAAATGCGTTGCACCAACATTTAACAAATGCTTACAACGCCCTAAGAAGTCCTTAATATAAGTAGCAGTTCATCGGCGACTTAAATTTGTTTAGCAATTCTTAAAAACCGAACAGAACCGAATGTGGCCGAGATCGGGTGGTTGTCATGGAAACGATCATAACAAAATTGAGATACACGCTTTTAAAAACAATCTGCAACATCCGGTATCTACCTCTGGACCGCAAAGTAAAATCCGAAATGTTTGTCTGGGAATCCGAAATTTCGGTACCATTCTCGCCATTGTGGCTGAATAGTGATAACGTGTTTTTTAATATTCGTTTAGTTTTGTTTTTTGAGAGCTGTGAGTAATAATAGTGTTGAATAAAAGTTACGGTAAGGCAAAATATTACCCAGTTAATAAGAAATATAATACAGCAATCAATTATTAATTATGTTTTAGATGAATACTAACAACAAAAGAACACGCGGCGCGAATTTTACGGCAGATGAGAGGGCTCTTGTTTTATCTTTAATTATTGATCGGCGTCACGTTTTGGAAAATAAAAAGACGGATGCCGTAACAAATAGAGAAAAACAGCAGTGTTGGCAAGAACTCACTGACGAATTTAATGCCCAATGTCCAGCAGGGGTGCTAAGGTCGATGATATCACTTCACAAGTGGTACAACAACAAAAAAAAAGAGACAAGGAAAACTGTGGCGGAAAATCGAATGGTTTTTCGAAAAACACGGGGCGGTCCATCGGAAACGCAGGATGGTGGCCCAGAATTAGAGTTAACTTTAGCGGCAATGGATTCCACGACGGTGTATGGATTACCAACAAATTTTGGAGGAGACACCATTGGAGAATCGGAAGTATGATTAACAATTTTTTGTTTTACATGCTTGTTTAAAATGTGTTTATAATTGTAGCATTTGCCAGATGATGAGGAAGATGAAGATGAATATGAATTCAGCGAGGAGGTAAACCCAGAAGATGTTAGTTCTAAATTTTAGTGTTTATTTCGATAATTTTTCTTTAAATATTTTAGTTTGCGAAACCACCAACTTCAAGGGCAATACCATCTTTTATCTCAAAATCAGTACCACTACCAGTAACATCAAGAAGAATGAAATCGTTAGATGCCGGCCAAGTTGTATGTACCTTGTATACACGCATTTTATTTTTACTTTCTTTACTTTTTTAGACTATATCAACTGATGCAGGCAATTTTGCGTCAACGCCAATCAAACGAAAATTGGATTCTTGTCCGGTTCAAAATCCGGTAAGTTATTCTCTATGCTGCTTTATGATTCCTACTCAAAATTTAATTACAGAATGTTCTCGAAAAACTCGACTGGGGCGATTATAAAACTGGCCATTTAAAAACACCCAGATCTCAACAACTGCATACAATTTCTTCGAGGAGGAGGCCTACGCTACAGGCATTGCATTCTAGCCACATATCGAAAATGTATGATGAGTTGGCCAAGAAAAAAATTGCAGTTAGCGGACGTGCAACTAGAAGAAATGAAAATTCAACTCGAAGAACGGAAAAAGGAGACGGAACGGAGGAAAACAGAATTTGCCCTAAAGAAAGAAGCTATGGAACTGGACATAGCAATAAAAAAAGAACAGTTAAAAAAACTAAAATTTACTAATATAGATTTATGATAATAAAATATTTAATGTTGCCTATTAAAAAAGTTTGTTATGTAACTCCTCCTAAACTCGTGTCCTGCTCCCCTTCCCTCCCGACCATTAATTGCTGCCGGAACTTCTGGAATGTTGCCAGCTTCAATCAACTGTTGTAATTCATGTTGGTTGATTTCTGCTGGCAATGGAGGGTCTTCTTCACCCCTTTCCCGGGCAATATTATGTAAGACTGCACAAGCAATTATTACTGCTAGCACAGTATCTTGTTTCAATCTACATCCGTAGGCTAGAATGGGAAATCTTCTTTTCCACACCCCAAATGTTCTTTCTATAACATTGCGAGTTCGAATGTGTGCTTCGTTATAGAGTTGCTCCCCTTGTGTTTGTGGATTTAACATTGGAGTTAAAAAATAGCGACGAACAGGGTAACCACTGTCTCCTATATACCAAAACAAAGCAATGAAATTACACAATTATCTATATAACGACTAAAGCTTACCTAAAATGATACAATTTGGGTAGATTCTCTGTTCAAAATCTCTTCTTATGTTAGAATTATTAAATATTGTTGCGTCATGGGTAGACCCAGGCCATCGAGCAACAACATTTATAAATTTCATTTCAGCATTGCACATAGCTTGCACATTTATGGAAAAATAGTCTTTTCTGTTGCGGAAGACTTCTGCATGTTCACCACCTTAAACATACCCAACAACCATATAAGTGGTAGCTCCTAACATAGATACTTCTTAACAATACGGGACACAGTAGACAAATGCATTCCCATATAATCTGCCACGCTGCTAAGATGCCCTCCTGTGGAAAATAGACGTAATGTCGTCAACAATTGGTTGATTGGTGCCACGGCTGCATTTCTATAAATATACAAATTATGTTTACGTTCGATTTGGTTTAATTTTATTATTAGTTATGTCTGTACCTGTCGTTTGGAAATTCCAAATGATGTTCTATTTGGGCTAACAAATATAATACTGTTTCTTTGGTCATGGCCGACTAGTATAAAGATTATGGCCTGTCCAAGAGGTACGATACGTGTTGCCATCTATTAATAATTACACTTAATAATTTAGCAAAATTTTAATTTGACTTGACATTATCGGACTTCAAAACGTGTAATGGTGGTTTCTTGGGTATGAATGCCTTTGTGCCTTTCAAAAGGTGTTAATAATTCTTTTGTCGATTTTGAATTATTAATAGATGGCAGCACGTATGGTACCTTTGGCATTCCTTTGGACAGGCCATAATCTTTATACTAGTCGGCCATGCTTTGGTTAACCGAAACCTTTGAAAAAACTGAAGATCCGGCAGATCATGAAAATGATCGGCTCTTAAATAAATTTGTCGCGGTATTCCCACTTCGATTAATTCAAGAACTTCGAGGTCGTCCTCAAACGCATCAAAATCCATTTTTGTAATAAAATAAAGAACAACACTACAGACTACACGTGAATTAGTTAGGTTATTGCGATAAATTAGGTTAAACAAATGTCAGTTTTGTGTCTGTTACCAACAGAATTTGTTATTTCAAATAAAGTCACTAGCTAAGCATTGCTTTGTTATGTCAACGTTAAGATGCGTTGGTGCAACACCCAAGTACTTTAAGAACTGCTTAAAGTTAAAAACTTCTTAGCTAAGGAATGCTTAAATCGAATGTTCGTGCAAACGGCCCTAAATGCAATTGGGATGATGTCTTAGACAGCGGAGAAGTTGAGCAGGCGTGTAGTATTTTGTACAAAAAAAAAACATTATTTATTTGACTTTCATGTCTCAAAATATCGTCAAAATAAAGGTCCATACTGGTTTACAAAGGAAATAATATTAAATTTGAAACAAAAGAACCGTTATTGGAAACTGTATAAAAAACGCAAGTATTTGTATTACAAACACCAAGCTAGAAAAATCGAACAAAAATTAAAAGCGCAAATAAAAGAACAATATAATAATTTTATTTCTCGTATTCAAGCTAACATTAAAACAGATCCAAAACAGCTTTGGACTTTTGTAAACTCTAAAAAGAAGATATCGAGAATTTCAGGAAGGATGACCTGTGACGATAAAGTTTTTGACAATCCTCAGGATATCGTGAACCAGTTTAGTAGCAGGGCTTAACGAGTTAAATTCTAATTACTATGATAATTCTGTGCGTCAAAATGTATTTACTCCTAGTGTTGATACTAGTGGATATAGTGTTAATGTTCTGCATAACAATTTCGGAAGAGGATATCTTAGAAGCAACAAGAAAATTGAAAGCCAACCTCACAATGGAAATAGACAACGTGCCGGCATTTGTAGTAAAAGACTGCATAACATGTTTTTCAGAACCTATCACTTAAATCAGCTGCCTATCCAAAGAGCTGGAAAATAGGAAAAGTAAGTCTAATATATAAATGTGGTGGTAAATCAGATGTAAAGAATTATAGACCTGTAGCCATAGTTCCAAATTTTGCTAAATTGTTTCAGTGTATTGTATATGTATAAATATGTTAACTACCACTTGTGACAGTTGGTCTCTGATGCACAGCATGGTGATGTACAAGGTAGATCCACCTGCACTAATCTGTGTTCATTTACCCAATATATCTCGCATCATCTTGATTTAAAACTACAAGTAGATGTAGTTTACACGGACTTATCCAAGGCCTTCGAAAAGGTGAATCACGATATTCTCTTAAGTAAACTTGGTTCGGTTGGCATAAATCATAATTTGGTAAAGTTGTTTAAGAATATTTTTGTAAATCAAAAGCAGTATGTGGAATACCTGGGTTATAAGTCACCTTTATATGATTGTCGTGTGTGTCAAGGGTCAAACTTGGGACCATTACTGTTTGTAATTTTTATAAATGATTTAAATTCTCGTTTGACGGTGGATAATGATTATCGTATCTTTTTGTATGCTAATGATCTAAAAATTGTACGGGTTATAAGACAAAACAGTGATTGTTACTTGTTACAAAATACTATTGAAGCAGTTGTACTCTGGTGTAAGCAAAATAGATTACTGATTAATATAAGTAAATGTAAGGTGATGAGTTTTTCGAGAAAAGCAAATACTGTATTGTTTAATTACATCATGAATGATACACAACTAATTAGGGTTTACGAGCATACGGACTTAGGTGTAGTGTTTTTTTCATTTGTTCCTCATATTAATTACATATGTAATAAGACCGCCAAAATGTTGGAATTTATAGTTAGAAACACAAAAGAATTTGTTATTATTCATTCTCCATTAGTATTGTATACGGCTTATATTAGATCTGTACTGGAATATTGTGCCGTCGTTTGGAATCCTTATTATATAATGCACATCACTTCTTTAGAAAGAATTCAGAAGAAATTTTGTAAATATGTTTATTTCAAAATTCATGGCTGTTACCCTGTTAGGAACTTCTCGTATCAGGAATTACTTATGGACTGTAATTTGGTAGGTACCACTACAAACTAGACGAGAATACATGTCTGTAATTTGTCTGTATAAGCTAATGCATGGTACCTTTCAAGATAGTAACCTATTGCGCCAAATTCAGTTGAATGTTCCTAGAACAAATATCAGACGTTTTAGAACATTTACGTATACTGTAGCTCATAATAATCAACATAAGCATTCACCGTTAGTGAATATGTGTAGAATTTACAATAATATTCAGTTCGTAGTTGATATATGTATTTGGTACTAGTCAGCAAGAATTTATACAACTTTGTAAATGTGTATTTTTTTGTTAGTTATCTCTTTCAATTAGTTTATCTCCACTTATTTTTAATTTAAAATGCATTTTGCATTAATTGTTTTCGTTGTATTGCCCTATCGGGAATGCCCGTTGGAAATAAATTACTATTAATATTATTATTATTATCATTAATATATTATTATAGACATTAGGTACAAAGTTAAACTGTTTTAGATTAGTAAATAGTTAGTCATTAATTAGTCATCGATTATAGATTTAAAAAGAACTTTGGGGACCCATTTTGTATTGTTTTTAAAGTAGTTTGAAAGAATCTCGGGTACTCCTTCTAGTTAGATAAGTATAAATACAAATGCTCTGCGTTGAGAAGTTTTACAAGCTGCTTAACGGCACCAAACGTGTCGCGCCTACAGTCATATATTTCATTGCACCAGTCGCTCTTGTTTAATGTTCATACTGAAATTTTAATATTTGTTAACAAAATGTCACTTAAATTTTATTTAGATTCCAATTTCAATTTCTTAACGAAAAAATCCCTTAAAATTGAGTATAAATTTAATACATCAGGTGGATGTGCAGCTGTAGGTGCAACCTCAAATAACAATAATATATTTAAGTTGACATAAAAAGAAAAAAGAACAGTAAACTAACATGTAAAATTCTGCATTGTGTCTCGAACTGCATAAATGACATTAAAGAAATCCAAGTCCTTATGGCAATTTTCTTCTCTCAGAACTAGCAACGAAATCCATAAATGTGCTTGTAGAAAACTGAATAGCTTCTGACAGATCTATTATAGGACACTTAAGACCAAACACACTTAATAATTCGCTACAAACGATAATACCATTAAACAATTAATTCGTAAGTATTAAGTCTGTTTTCAAGCGCCCACATTTCAACGTCTCTAATTTGAACAACGTTCTGATTTGCACATAGGTGTATTTGTTTCACTGAAATATTCAGGCACAAGTGCGTGAGAAAGAACTCTTTTAAAATATTTTTAATGAAGGTGTGGGTGAAGGTAACAAAATAATGCAAGCATATTGTCTAACAGATCTCAGTAATGAATAATAAACCAGTTAAGATTGTGAAAACAAAAATCTGACATCGGTCAAATTAAACCTAATAAGACGTGTTAGTAACGAGAATAATAATAATACTTATTATTTTTTCTCAACAGGTGTCAACCCAGTTACAGGAAATATGAAGTAGTTAAAAGTTAAAATAAATATAAGTGAACAATAAATATGTATAAACAAACATTCTAGGTACCTTACTAATAATAGCACATTATTATCAATGTGGGATAAATTTATGTTTTGAGTCAAAAGTAACCCCTAAATCCTTAATTTTTGATACTACTTTCAATATTGTTTTGTCAATAGTATAACTGAAGCATTGGCAGTCGTTTGTTCTACAGAATGATATTTTCTAGCATTTCTCAAAATTTAGAATCGTATAATTTCATTTGTTTCACAGAATTAACTTCGACATATTTTCTATGAATTCACTATAGTATACGTCTAATTCTATCAGTAGTGGATCGATCCTAACAAAAAGCCATGTTGTCCACCGTTAATTAACTGCTTAAATGCAACCTTAAGCTATACTTAGATAACAGATGATCTGAAAGTTTTGGTTGGAAATGTTAATTGTATACTATGTAAATAGTAACCACCTTTTTGTTACTAGATTTAAAAATTGAAACAGTAGAATAATTCTGATTCCAAAATTCAGTAGATATTCCAGGTTTAACACACAAATTAAACAGTCAGCGAATAGGTTTTTCACACTACTCGAACTCGTGTATAAACACACGGAATTCAAAAATGTAAAGAAACGCCATCAAGCTCTGAACTCTTTTTAAAAATTTAAAATGCTATTAAACACATGAAGCTTGACTATAAATATTAATTTCATTAACAACATTGATATTATTTATTAAATTCAATGTGACTTTTGGACGTAT